TTGCTATTTTTAACATAAAAAGCTCAACTGTGTTATACAATTCCATTAATTGTTAAATGCAAGTATATAAGAAAGTATGATTTGTAATGAATTTGTTTCAAAAAAGTGTAACAAATTTTTTCATTTTGCACTTTATACTTTTCCTTTTTATCAGTAATATTATCTTATTCAGTAAAATTATTATTAGCTACTACTTCTTTATTATAAATATTTTATTCTAAAATATATATATGTATATATATTGCAGAGACATTAGGTTCAGGAACTACTGTATCAAAATCAAACCAATTTGCATCAACATCTGATAATGCCATAGATAATGAAGCTTCCGAATTTATTAATAATGCTACAAAGAAAATTTGTGACAAAAATATACCAACTATTATACCAACAACATCAAAACAATCAACAACAATCTCTGATAATGTCAGTCATAATGAAACTTCTAAATATAGTAATATTATAACAAACAAAACTTCTGACACAATTTATGAAGGTAAATACATGCAATAATGTTAATTTAACATGTATTATTGAAGAAATTATACACACACAAGTAGATAGATTTCTTGAAATTAATCAGGTCATGAATATAGTATAAAAATATTTAATCTAGGTATTTAATTAGAATTATGTCTAGTAAATGTAAAATTATTATGAGGAATTGTGCATGTATGTACATGCATAATATGTTTCATTCCTTTTTAATTCTTTATGCAGATGATAATGATGATGATTTTGATTTGGAAAACCCAGCAGCAGAATTGCCTGTACACACTAAACCGATTATCATTTCACTTGTTGACTAAATATATATGACACAATTGCTATATTGCAATTTAAACATAAGCATATTATTAATATATTGCAAGATTATAGATCTTATAAACTTGTTTAAATCTATGCAAAAAAATATATTCTCAATTTGGAAAACAAAAATGAATATTAACTATAGTAATTATAAAATACATTTCCGAGCCAATTTTTATTAACACATTTTCATAAAACTCTCACAAATCTCAAATAATATAACTTTTTATTCTAAATCTTTAAACTGTTTTAATGTCATTTTATATATGTATATAATGTACGAGTATGTATATACGTGTATATATATATGTACACACACACACACACACACACACACACACACACACACACACACACACACGCACGCACGCACGCACGCACGCGCACGCACACGCACACGCACACGCGCGCGCACGCACACACACACACACACACAAATACACACACACAAACACACACACACACACAACACACACACAGATGTCAAATATAAATAAATTTAGTAAAGTTTGTTTTAACATGATATTAAAAAATACATAGTTCTGTCTAAATAACAAAATATAACAATTTCAAAAATATGCTTATTATTACATTGCAAAAAAAAAATACAAAATAATAGTGTTAGAAAGATAACATTTTTTTTATTTTAATTCAGATGCCAGGAATAATCCAATTGACGTTAATGAAAATGACATAAACATTTCCATCATTTGTAAAGGTAATACAAAAATTATTTTAAATGAAGTTATCCGATAACATTTATTTGTATTCCTTGCATGATGAAAAGTAAAAATGCAATTCTCCAATTCAATGCAATACTATAAAATTATATGTACATACACATGTAATACAAATATTAAAATTAATTCATTTTTATATACATCCACAAAACAAGAAATATATACAAATTGGAGAATTTAAGTTCTATAAACATAATTATTAATATAATTGATTGAAGTACAATAAGATAAAAATAATTATGATAATATAAAAACAATGATGTTAGGTATATGTCCTCAAAATATTAGCTCACAGTAACAACAATATGTTATAATTTATGGTTCAACAATGTAACTGTATTGCAATATATCTTGTACATAACATTTACATTGTTGAGTGGAAAATTATAACGTTTACTGTATATTACTGTTCGCTAGTATTTTGTGGGGATATATTTTTTTTTATATTATCATAATCATTTCCATTTTCTTGTACTTCAATCAATGATAATCATGTTAACACTTACGTTACTAAAAATTAAATTTTCCAAAATATTGTAAATTTATGTATATTTCTTGTTCCAAATATAACTGCAATGTTTGTGATATATAATTATCATATTACATTTATTTATGAAGGTACATCACAAACAGTTTTGATGAATAAAAGGACATCAAAGACCACAAGAAGTGTCAACAATATAATTGCGAACAGATGCAATTGTTGTCCTTGCATAAGTATATAAATAAAAAAATGCATATAATTGCGAAGTTAAAAAAATTCCTAATATGTAAATGTTCAAAAGAAAATAAATATATATATATAGTGTATTTTGGCAATTTTCCAGACAAGATAAATAGGAAATTGGATATAATAATACAGCATATATTACAATCAAAAAATAGAAACGAAGGAAATAATAATACACAATTGGAAAATGTTGAATTTTGCCAATTACAAACAAAAGAATTGATGCATTAGAATTTGATGCATTAGAAAAATCACTTGCGGAAGATGCAAAGAAACGAAAACAATTAATAAGTATAAATACAATTTTTATATGTGTTAAATCTATCGAAAGCGGACTTTGTCAAACACGTGTTATTTACAAGTGTGTTATATACATGTGTTGTCAACAGAGTAATGACAGAATCAACTTCTTATAATGATTGTCATAATAAAATTATTTAAGAACAAAAATGAAGCAAATTTCAATGTGACTTGATCAACAACCATCAAATGCATTAAATTTCTAGCATTAATTGAAGTATAACAAACACATTATTATAATAATGATATATATATATATATATATACATATATATATATATATATATATATTTATTTATTTATTTATAATATATTGTCATTAGTAATGTCGTTAACACATTATTATTTTATCGAAAACTATATATATTTTGTTTATCTCATTTAATTATTTATTTAGAAAAGTGCAAATAATTTTTTTAATTTTATAGAAAACTTTTATAAGGCAAGAAGGTGGAAAAGACGCGGGAGACCATATAAGGCGAGCGATGAAGAGAATAATGGCAGATCTCTTAGCTGTGCAATATTCTTGGAGTGGACAAAAGAATACTATCCGGTTTAAAGATTCATTTACTTCAAAACTTATTCTGAGTAAGTCGTAAAAAACTATAACATTCATACATACATTTTATTTAATTATATATGTAAAATTGAACAAATTTTGTGTATAATACATATATACATCTTCCAAAATTATAATTATGAAATTTGTTATTTCTTCAACGCTTCTTTTCATGTTTCACATTTCTTTTCCACCAAATGATTTAGTCTACGTAAAGTAATATAAAGTAATATTTGGTCTGTTAAGGATTCTGTAGCGTCGCTGCACACATCATCATGTATGAAAAAAAATGGAAGATGCTATACAATCATGGTTAAATCACGCATCGGATCGTATAAAAAAAAGAAAGGAGGGAAGAAGAGAGACTCGTGAGTTATTTATTCAAATATTAATTTGATCGAGTTTATGGTAATGAATATAATATTTCAATTACTATAAATATCGAACATTGCTGCAAAAGAGTTCTACGTCATAATTGTCATAATTGTCGTATATTTGAAGAAATTAAAATAAATACTATGTAGAATAAAGAAAATATTTTATTTAATTCTGTAATCGTACGTGTGTATGTAAATATATGTATGTATGACATTTAGTATGAAATTTTTCCAGATGCATGATTTAATATAAGAAATATTGCAACAAAAACTATGGTACTTTCTTTTTAAATATGTGATATTTTATGGTAATATAAACTGATTAAATTACAGCGTTTAAAATAAGTTGTTTATTATATTACATATATATTTACTTTTTTTAATTATATATGCATATACAAATATAATATATATTGTATGCACATACATTTAATTTTAAATAAAAAGTTATATTAAAAAAAAGTTAAAATATTAATAATATTGTGTATTAATTTTTCCTACAAAATTCCTTATGTTTGAAAAAATATACTAAATCTAAAAAAATAATTGATTCAATATTTATAAGAAAATATTTATTTAAATTAAGAAAATATTTATTTAAATAATTGATTTCAATATTTGCAAAAAAATATTTATTTATATTAAGCAAAAATATATTTGAATCAGCAAAATATACATGTACATTTTAATGATTCAAATATATTTTGGCTTAATATAAATAAATATTTTCTTGCAAATATTGAAATCAATTATTTTTTTAGATTTAGTATATTCTTTTAGTGTTTCAAATACTATTCCCATTGAATTAATAAAGTTTACATTTATGGAAATGGAAAAATACTATATGAATACTATATGAATACTATATGAATATTATATGAATACTATATGAATACTATATGAATATTATATGAATACTATATGAATACTTTAAGAAGTTTTCAAGAATTCAATCATGGTGCATGTAACTTCCACAATCATTCTTATTGTATTCATCTATGAATTCCTAAAGAATTACAATTTAAAAAAGAGAAAACTTAAAGATTACTGTTAAAATTCACTGTGCTATCTGGGCAATTGTATGTTTATTAATTTTAATTGTAGCGTACATTTTTCCGAGTGTATATACTTTATGTCCGCTTATTCCGGTAAGTGCAATTTTCTCCTCGTATATCAGTGCGTTATCTTTTAGATTTTTAAATTTGATTAAAGAAATTCCCAGATAGCACATGGAACTCCTATGGACGTCCAATGGACATTCGAGTTTGGACATGTGGACGTCCATAAGATGTCTGAATTAAGTCCGACGGATATCCATTGGACATCCATAAGACGTCGGTTATTCACTACTTCGGATGTCCAAAAAACAATCCAAAAAAGGACTTAAAATGGACATCATTTTCAGTGTCTTACTCTTTCAAATTATTATTGGAATAAATATCAAAAATTCATAAACTCAGAAAAAAATTTATATTTAATTATGTATAATTGTGTAGATATAATTATGTATGGATTTTGACCTAATTTAATCATATATAAAAAATTGTTCTTTATTATACATAAATAAATAGCATTATGTATCCTTCATAACATTTAAAACATAAAAAATTCTTTGGCCCAACAAAATTAAATAATATAATAAAATAGTATAATTTATCTATTTCATATAAAACTTTACATAAAATTCATGTAAAAATTTTATTTATATTTATACTTGCTTATTGCACTCTACATTTTAAATAGGTAATTTAAAATGTAAAGTGCAACAAGCAAGTTTAAATAAGTACCGGATTATTTTCGTTTATTTGCCGGACATTTACTTGTACGACTTATAAAATCAATTTAATATCTGAAACTCTTGTATTGAGATCACAAATTAAATTGAACAGTATATTTTTAATCTTATTTGTTACTCTTTGCAAACTTTATATAATTCTTATAACTAAAACTTAAATACGAGAAAGATAGCGCATCGCACGTCGCATAGCGGTAAACGAACGAACTAACACATCCTTGCGTGCTCGCGCGAAACTTTGATGTCCAAGATCGGACATTTTGTGGACGTCCAAATATTGGCCGTTAACGGATGTCCCGAATCGGATGTACAATGAACAGTCATTTCATGTCCATGGACGTACGGACGTAAAATGGACATAAAATGAATGTCCATAGGATGTCCTGTGCTGTCTGGGTTGTCGGTCCGGAATCATATAACATATTGATTTTTTCTTCTTTTACTTCGCGAATTGGTAGTGTTATTTGCAGTAATTCGTCCTTCGATGTGCATGCATAATTTTAACATGCGTTACACGATACTTTAGGGCAGGTCGCGGTTGCTTTTTCGTTTCTTCCTGCTCCTTTTCGCTATCGCTTGCAGACTCGACGCTCTTTTCGCCTGTCGATGCGAAGTCTTTTGTTCACGCATATTATCCTTATAATTATTTCTATTATTTTCTTTATTATTTTTAATATTAATTTTTGGTCGTCTATTTAAATTCCAGCATTCGTCGCGGCTGTGTCCGGATTTTTTACAATATTTGTAAAATTTATTTATAGTGTTTATTCACGTAGATTTTTCCGGTTTTGATAGTGCATATTTATTACTGCTACGGCAATCACATCCGTAGTGCTCATATTTTCCGCATTTATAATATTGTATGTTTGTATCTCGAGTTGGTCGCGTGTGTTTAGCGTCGAATTTATTTTTATTAGAGAAGCCAGGTGCTTGTGTGACAGATGGTCCGATAAACTTCTTTTCCGCGCTCGTGCCGTTTATCGCTTTTTGGAGCGTGGTGTATCTTTGTGAACGCACGAGAATTTTTAACTCATCTCGCAATCCGATTTGATAACTTATTAATGTTTGTTTGTTAATTGTTTTTTGTATCACTTGTTTGAATAAAGAATCCCAGATAGCAAAATCGGATAGAGCATGTTTTGCAATTTATGTGCTGCATACTATGTCAGCAGAATGCTGTCAATATTCTAGCAAAATATACCGTTTCAGTTAATGTTGTCAGAAACACAGCAAAAGTTGAGCATAACGTGTGTTATGATGTAATGATAGAAATGCAGCAGAAATAAAGCAGAGTTTTACCAGCATAAATAGAACAATTCAATGCTGGAATAATATGTCGGCAGAATGCATACTGAGAGTACGCATAATCTGTTGTCACAGTGTAATAGCAAAATCTCATCAGAAATATCAAACTTGTGCAAGCACGCTGACAGCAGAAACACACAGCAATGCAGCATGCTCTGCCGTCATACGATGACATTTAATTTTTAAAATACAGGATCTGTGCGACGCAATTTGACAACAGATTCTCGGCAGAAATCGAGCAGGATCTGCGCATAATCTCTGATAGCAGATTGATGGCAGAAACGGAACAGGATTTGCATGATTCGATAGTTCCTTCATTTATCGCTAGGTGAGCTGTTCTTTCTCGTAATTGAATTTCTGTCAGAAATATATATAAAGTCGTGAATATGAATAAAAGACTAAAAATATAGTAATTATCATTTTAATTTCTATCACTTTAATTTCTGATATCTGATACAAGCAAATGAGAGTCAGAATATTAAACTGATTGGAATCAATATGATAAATTGAAAATTATTCATGTACTGCTTATTTGAGGCACAAAGCAAAAATTTAATTCTAAATAAATTACATCTCAAGTTTTACAAGTTACATTTACTTTTATCATTTACTTTATTATTAATTTAATTAAATTGAATTAGTCCTTCGCTATATGAGATATAACTACGATATAACATATTACATATATGTCATTTTCTAAGAAAATTCTAATTAACTTGCCGATAATATTGTTATTTAGCGCTTGTAATAATCAATTTTGTTGCATTTATATAACATTAATAAAAGTAAGTGCAAATCTTGTGAAGTTTCTGCTGTCAATTTGTCATCAGGTTGCATGCGCAGATTCTGCTCGATTTCTGCTGACAATCTAACATCAAATTGCACGCGCAGATCCTGCTCGATTTCTGCTGTCATATCATGACGGCATACTGTGCTTCATTTCTGTTGCATTTCTGCCATCACATCATATTGACACATCGTGTTGGGAAAAAAGAAACTTAATGAGGACACAGCTGAGCGATAGCTGCTGCAAATTCATGATTGAATCTGCTGTTATACTGCTGGCATACTGCTAGCATTTTGTTATCTGGGGAGGTTGTTCTTCTCCTTCCATCATATAGGATTCATATAGTTTCATCGCTAAAGTGTCGACTCGTTGCCCGAATGCATGTGCGGTTTCGTTCGATTTTTGCTTCAGCGAATTAAATTCGA